TTCCTCTGCAACCCTCTGCTATCATCCAGTGTAATGTGAGCACACCAGGCAGATCCCTCTGCAGATCCTTCTCCTCCCCTGCACTACGGCTCCCCCACACAAAGCCACAGAGACCTCTTTCTACATCCCTCGCCACCAGTCTGGCCTCTAAAGTGGTGATGGGCATTACCGTGGCTGAGCCTCTGTGGCTTCCCATAGCGTCCTGCAAAGTGCTTTGTATTCAAACTTCTGCTATACACATACATACCCCTGCCACACACACACACACACACACACACACACACACACACACACACACACACAGCACCCATTTCTCATTTCTACTAAAACACACCGAAGAAACGCCTTTATAAAAACAAACCTTCATGAAATCACCTGATTTAATAGCACTTGTACTTATGATTTACTGACAGCGTCACAAAAAAACATAAAGTAAATATAAACAGCAGACTGTTGAACCTTTAATGGATGTAAATAGTGTAAAACGTTTAACAGCAGTATCCATGTATACAAGGGTTCATGTAAAAAGTTAAAACATTTATCACTCAAAGAGCTATTTGTGGGAACCGGAAACAGCAAAAAACAGCGAATCCAAGATGTTGGTAGTGATGCAAATAAATACCACTCCAACAGGTCCTTTAATGGGTCTAAATATGTTGGGGGGGGGGGGGGGGGGGGGGGGGGGGGGGGGGCGCAGTTAGTAAACCATGAGATGACAGATGATGCATCCGAGTATGCTGCAGGGACAGGCCGAGCCATGTTGACATAAAACCCAATACTTCCTTACAGAGGAACGGGGCCAGCGTCAGCTAGCTCCTTGCCGAGCACTAAAAATCCCAGCAAGCTGAAGCAATATTATCCGGCTTAGTGTTTCTAACATTAGATTTGTCTCTGTAGAGGTCCTCTCTTATTTACCCAAGAGCAGTGGCTAAAGACACATTTTTATCCTTTTTAGGGAGAATTAAAAAAAAGAAAGTATAGCTGAAAGTTAGAAAGTCTTGCAGAAAGGAACACACACCCACAGATCAGAGCAGCTTCTGAAATATTTCAGCAGGATGGAGGACAGTCTTTAATTAACTGCACAAAGTACATCCTAGTTTTTTTTGTTTTTGTTTTTTTGGCGTGCATATGAAAGTGCCAGGCCATGCGGGAGTGTCCTAGAGTGAGTAAAACACACAATCGGTGAGCTAACACAGAAACCCAGCCGTCAGCATCTATCCGGCACACACTGCTGCAGTGTCCCAAGCACAGCTAATTAAAAAACAACAATTTCACAGGAGGGCACTCCAAACAGTTCTAAAAAGCACCTCTCAGCACACCGGGGGATCGTCCAGCATACATGGGAGGTGAGACAGGTTGTTGGAGCTCTGCTTTTATGGCTTCATCACTGCTGTGTTTTTCTACTACTCATACTACTGTGACCTGAATTTCATTTTGCTTACAGCACGTGAATTAGACAATTTAGGAAAATCTGCATGCTGGTGTATTTGGATGAGTTACAAATGTAACAATCTAAAATAACATTTTGCTAGACAGTAAAACTTTATAGAGCATGGGGAGAAAAAAAAATCCACTCTGGAATGCATGTTTTTTATGCATCAGCAGGCCCCAAAAGCAGGCAGCTTGGTGCATAATATAGTTAGTTAATGTTATGTTTTGTAGATGGAGCCCATGGCAGTTTCTAACAAGGCAGTCCATTACAGGGGTGTTGTCCAACACTTCGGCGAAGTGATAGGCCTTATTACATGGCTTCTTTCAAAGCATCTGCTTGGTTAGTGGAAAGGTCTCCCTGGGGAAAAGATCTCCCTCTTTCTAATGATGTATAATTGACCTCCAAACACCAGGGCACAACAAACTCTCTCGGGGTGGTGTAATTCCACTCTACCTTTTACATACCGCCCGTCTCGTTCAAGCTTGTTCCTCCTCTACGGCTTTGGCTACCGTCCAACTGACAGCTCTGCCTATTTGCCTTCAATTTTATCAAACTTGCTCTGAAATATTCTTACAAAAGACAGTGCTGTATTTCTGTATTCCTCCTCTTCAAAAATATATTTAATTTTACCCCCTCCCCACGGAAAATAAGCCTGACATCCGTACATTTGAGATTTTTTTTGGACCCTGAATTTTTAGCTATAAAGAATATTCCTCATTCACAAAAATACCTAATAATACCTATTATTTCAAGACAGGGACAGTGAACACAGGTCAGCTGCATGGCATAAAAAAGAAGCAAACATATGGGAAAAAGACGAATAAAATCTAATCTTGTTACAATATAATTGCACTATATGGAGCAAGATGTGTTGAACTGTGTTGGTGGGAGTTTTAATAACACAGTACACAATTGTTTCTCCCCATCTGCACTTAAACCTGTTCCAAAGGTGCCAAAAAAGACTGCTTGCCAATTCCTTGATTTATTATAGCTAGTGAGAGCTGATTACGGGGCATGAATCAGTTGCTGTAGGAACGTAATTAGGCATGAAGACCTCTGTAAGGCTAGGAGCTCTCTTCACAGCCCAAAGCAGTTTGTGGGCTGACAAATGCATCTTAAATGAGTGTCATAAAAGTCAAAAAGGTGCCAATTACATCTTTAAGTATCCCATCAATGTGAATGGAATAAACAACAACAACAAAAAAGAAATTCTTGTGTCTGTGTGATGGAGCTCCAGCTACCTTTTAACATGGGAGGGGTCAAAAAAAAATGTGAGAAGGAGGGTGAAGAATTAAAAGATGTGTGTGAGAACAGTGTGTGAAAGCAGGACGTCGCCCAGCAGGTTGTTTTGTTTGGCTGGGGTGTTTCGGACTTGCCACACAAGCTCACAGCATTCAAAGTACAAGAAGTGGCAGAGAAAAAAATAGGGAAATGGTTAGTTATTTACCAAATATGGTACTTCAAAAGCATATCAAACAAAATGCCAGGAAAACGTACTATTATCTTGTCTGCCTCTGTATGTTTGTCTTCTTCTCTTGACACACACACAGAACAAATAAATTAAAAGAAAAACTACAAATGGACAGTGCTACAGCAGGCATGAGAAAGAGATCCTTCTCTCTCCGTTTCCAGCCACCTCTGAGCCGTGACGCCGTGACTGTGGTATCCCATAGTTACTGCTATGAATTTTCCATTGTTATCAGCCGAATACACTCCTGTCACAAAGCTGGATGAATGGCACGCACGGCAACAGATGTAACTCTTTGTTGCTTGCAAGGTATCTAGCAGAGAGCCATAATGTCCCGGTAATCGAAGTGGAATTGTTAAAAAGGCTGGACACAAAAAGCTGAAAATTTAGTGACAAGCATGAAAAGCACTCATGCGATGAGAAACACAGGGCACCCCCCCAGTCCTCACAGGCCAAATAGCAACCCTCAGCATTGTTATTACTTCTGTTACTTGTCTTCAATATTTGCCTCCCCTATGTCTGCCACTGTCTCTGCTGTCTTTATGTGATAATTTACTAATTCAATTTACTAATTTATTTTACTCCATGGCTAATGGCTGCCATGCTACTTCCTGTTACTGGCCTAATTTTGAATGTACAACTTTATTGTAATTACTATAAAACAATAATCACAAGAGGGCAATTGCTACATTATTATAATTTATATATAATTTATCACATTAATATTTTTAGTCTTCTAATTTTAATAATGCTGTATTTTTATTTATTGTGTTGTTGTGAATGAGGCAGAGCAAATTAGCAATCTGCATTTTATCTGACTGAGTCTGCTGTTGTAATCTCACTCCAGCATTTTAGAACAACAGAATAAGTCCGATTTTTGAACATATTTTTCAAACTGTGAAACTCACTATTTTAATACTAAATTATGAATGCCTTTAAAAATTGTGTGTGCGTCTGAGTTTGTGTGTGTGCGCGCGCGCGTGAGTCGCGCGCGCGCAAATCCCTGAACTTCTAATTATTTTCTATTATTATCTAAATCAACATTAGCCTGCAGGAACACATAACTCATGTGAAGTAAAAAGCGCAGATAGTTTTTCATTAAGCAGTTAAATGGTTGCCATGTCTCCTATATGCCGCATGCTAAAACGCCACCATCCCTTAGTAAAATAAAATAGCCTCAAATAAAATAGAATAAACATGATCTAAAATAAAATAATAATTTTTAAAAAACGATAAATTTGTACCGGTTAAATAAAGAAAGTTTATTTAAGAAAATCATATAGGCCTAGTCCTGTTAGAGGCAAATGAAGGAATCAGATTTTCAAAATAAATGAATATGGCCTGATCGGAAAATTAATCTCACCCGCGCTGTGGGCTCGAATGAAATTCTGTTTTTTCCATCTTTTGTAATGAATCTGAAGCGGCTGATGGTGATGGGGGAAATGCCACAAGATGCAAACAAACTACATGACAGAGAGCGGAATAAAAAGGGAAAAAATAAACAGACTGTACGCCTGCACACTCTCGGGCCTGCGTGAGTGGGATCACGTCTTTTTGTCATAAATGTGCTCATTCCGCAGACAAAATGTGGAAATATCGTGGGCCACTGCGACAAGAAGAAAGCGAAGCATATGTGACCCCTAATGCGAGAGTCCTCCAGCCAGTGTGAGCACCATTACTAAGATTCAGTATTAACATTTTTAACAAGTACAAGAGTTCACATTTAATTGCACTTGTTCCTGTTATTCTTTCATTAATTTTGCAGGAAATAAAATCGTAAAGAGAACAGCAGAACAAGCAACGACAACAGGTTAATTTATATCATACCTCCCTGAAGGTAGATATATTTTTTACACTTCAACCAGTCTTGCTAAATTCAAATACGACTTCACACTAGCTGAATGACTTTCCAGACTGTTTTTTTTTTTCTTTGCATGAGACACACACAAGGCCTCCAGGCCAGCCAAAGCCATCACATTGTCCTTTTAAAAAATCAAAAATGAAATATCAATAAAATAAAATTCACGGCACACCAACCAAGACAAACTAAAGAAATGCAAATCAAGAGTGCAGAGATTCCCTCCGCGAAATTGTGCTTACTGTTGGTAGTCGTGTTTGCAGTAAAGTTTCCTTTCTCTGAAGTAACAGCTGGTGGTGAGAGGCTGTTGACACACGGTGCACTGCAAACACTCCTCGTGCCATGAGGAATCGTTGACCCTCATCAAGAAGCGGTCGGAGATAGGACGCTGGCATCCTTCACACACGGATGGATGATGACAATCAGTCCCTGGAAAAGGGCAGAGGAGTTTGGGCCCATCAGAACAGACAGAAGGCCTATATCAAGACCTGTAATGTCTGATTAAAAACTCTAAAAACGTTAAAGGCCTACACACTGGGTGCCTGAAGAAATCTATAGGCTAGATGTGTATGGTATTTAATCAAATTAAAAAAGCAGATTTTAATGGATGAATTTGATATTCCCTCTCCAATAAGGCCTGCAGATCCCAGCCTTTGAATGGGTCTGGGTCGTTCGGGATGCGTTTTCTTGAAGCTAACGTGCAAAAAAAAAAACTACATTATTTATTATCATCTCTGTTGTTGCATCCCTTTGCATGCATACATGTGAACTTTTGTCGCTTTTCATGCTCTTAGGCGTCAGGTAACAAAACAGCAGTGGGCATGCATGCACAGTATGGCATCCAGACAGGGATAACAGTCTAGTGGTTGACCTGTGCTCACAGTTCACAGTGATTTGCTGGGGTTTTATTCTACAGTAAAAGACTCACCGAGCATGACTCCGAGCGTGGCTTGTCCCGATCGCAGGGGATGATCCTCAATTTTAATGCCGTCCAGCATGATGCACGTCTCGGGCTGTTCTCCAGCGGAGAGGCGCTCCAGTGACACCAGACCTGTTGCAATATCCATAAGAATACGGTCAGACCTGACAAGAAAATCCAGCGGCACGCACAAGCTGTCTGGAGGTGGAGCGGAGGCGAGGTTGAAACCTGTTGAAAGCGTTTGTGTTCCGTGTGACACACAGCCTGCAGCTCGGCGGAGGGACACTAGACAATGAGCTTAAGTACAAGAAATGCAAAAGCTCGACTTTTGATGCTCGCAAATAGTTAAGAGATAAAGGCAGTCTAAGCCGGCTACCCGGGTCCCCGATGTGTCAGAGAAGCGTGTGGACACAGAAAGCAAACAATAAAGGTGAAAAACTCTCTCAACAGTCACCTGTTATGATTAGAGCACCGAGGAAGCTTTATCTTCTCGTCCTCAAGCCGACGGGAGAAAAGCGGGGGAATTTCTTCACGGAGTAACAGTTTTGTCAAAGACGAGAAAAAGACGACAAACTTGACAACAAATCCCCCCCTCAAAAACAAAACAGGAGAGTATGTATATGTCCCGGCAGTAACTCTTTGGAAGTAACAGAGACGGTTGTTGGTTGTGCCCCTGTCGCTGCAAAAGTCTGAGATCGAGATTGAAGCGAGTGGATCCTCCCACTCCTGCATGCATGGCTACACTTTTTTCATTCCCCCATTCACTGCCATTGGGATGCTATTGGAGCAGAGTACAGTGTGCTCCACACAGTCCAATAACGACACACACTTGGAGGAAACCGTAAGGAAGACTAGAAAGAGGAAAAATTATATTATATACAGGGGCCTGGCTCTGAGGCCTAGCACTGAAGAAACAATACGATTATATGAAAATAATAGACCCAATAATACACTATAATTTCATTACTGGGCGCAATATATGAAGGGTTTTCTAAGAAAATAAAACATTGTATGGTTATTATTTAGCAAAAATTAACGTAAAGATATAGAAGCGACCCCCCCCCCCCCCCCTATCTATCATGAATTGTTATATTTCCTTCAGTATTAGAAAAATGACATATGAGCATCACATGCTGTCTTTGCTCTTTTGTGTATTGTTTCCAGTGGAAGCTGCTGTCCCCTTTCAACTGATGCACCTGGCGATCAGTGGTGATAACGGCGGTGTGTCCAGCTCTGAGGTGGCCACAACAAGGCATGTCTATCCATCTTTTGGCCAGAAAATAGGCACCAATAATAATAATAATAATACTTATTATATATTTTTTTATTATTTAGGCCATGTCCTGCATTTGTTTTACAGGAACACAGCAGCTATCTATTATCTGCCGTTCAACAACTGATCAGTTTATACTTTGATCTGAGGAATGAGCCCTCAATCTGAATAATTGAAAATCCAAAAACACCCAAATGAGCATAATAATAAATATACATATCCGTTGAGCGTTGCGTGTTTTATAAGTTAATCAATTCTGGATCGATCAGTAGGCCTACATTTCTTTGTCAAGATGTGATCAAGACGTTTGCAAAGGTACGGAGGACAGTTGCACCGAGGCCTGTCTGAAACTACAGGGCTACTAATGGGATTGTGCACTGCTTCCCATGTCCCGCTGTATGAGAGGATCAAAAAAAAGAAAAAGAAAAAAGAAAGAAGAAGCTGCAGAGCTACAGGCCCAGGCAAGGAAACACAAGAAGACTGGACACATGGAGACGTTTTAAGGAAACGTATTGTCAGACCAGCTTGTGCAAATCTACGTGAGATTTATTTTCATTTAAATAAAAAAACTAAAAAAAAACTACCTGCTGCTCAATTAAAGGCAATGAAGACATAGCCTACTGTAACACGGACACCAGCACTACATGTCGAGAGTATGACTGATACGACAGCAACGGCAATAACAATATAATAGTAATAATAAAACATAGCAGGCCTAATAATGATAAATTCCTAAATATTGTGGTAAGAAAATCATATATTTCACATTAGGCTACTTACTGCATGATCATTTATTGAAAGGAAGAAACAAAAAAAATAAATAAAACGCATGTTCAAATGTTTCTCTAGAATGATCTTAAGTCAATCTACAGTGTTTACCTTCGATCCAAAGGCATATAGCTGCGTGTTGTGTTTGATGTCCTTTGTGAAGCATCACGGCGATGACCTGTAGCCCAGTTTGGAAAACAGAGGACAGATTGTTGGCGTTGCCCTCTGCCGTTCAGTGAGAGAACAGCTGAAGTTATCTAAAACAGTTGTGGTTCCCAACCTTTTTTGTCGGACGTACCCCCACAGCCCTATCAGAAGAAGTAGGCTACCCCTTTACCATACCTCTTTGATAGGGGTGGCTTTATGGTATTGTTCAATGGTACTGTCTTTTACAAATTTGGCCAGGTTTGCATTTAATGCCGTTTGGAATGACAGAAACTGGTTGTTTCAACCACTGTCAGTATAACTTTCTGCGTTCTTAATCAACCTACAACTGACTCAGGTAGGTAGAAAGCTGAGCGACGTCTAGTGCAGACTAGTTGGTAAGTTCTTGTGACAATAACTATAACTAACTATATAACTATAAATATCAGGATCACATTGGCTACGTTTAACCTTACTTCTGTGTTGATTTTTATCCTAAACACAAATGCATGACTACACATGATCAAATCATATTTTTTATTTTCTATATTTCAAATCAAATTCAAATTTTTCCACGACCCCCCCCCCCCCCCCGTAACTGCAGAGGTGCCCTTTGAGGTACAAGAACCCCTGGCTGTGAATCACTGATCTAAAAGAGACAGTGGAGCCAAATAGATACAGTCACATACAGAGATTAATATTTACATCCATTGTCGGATTTTATGAAGGATGTTACAGACACAGACACGTTTAAAGCACAAATAAATATAAATACGAATCTTTATGAAAGGACACAGATACACTTGCTCTGTTAAAATCAGCCCATACCTGCCAGTCATGAATCTTTCCCCCACTTCTGTTTCCATCAGCATGAGGTCAATTACCTTCGCCTCACACTATATTGGATTATCTTACCACTAAGACGCATTATGAGCTGAGAGCTATCAATACAATCTAATCAATACATTTTCAGAAACATATAAAGCCCGTGTTACCCCCTCCCCCATTCATTCAGCAGTTGTCGGCCAGGTCGCTTGTGTGAATGAGGACATCAAACATTCATTCAATAAATCAATCCGCCAACTTTTAGCCGGCAGTGTTTTAATGAGCCTCTACATGACAAGCCCTCCCTCGCCTTCTATAAGGCAGGAAAAGCAGGTGTGCCCCACAGAAAGCAACGGTCTCCTAAAATTTAGCAATTTGCTTTAAAGTAAGCAGAGCTGTGGCATCCATCGGAAAGGTAAGAGACCATTATAATGCGTCATGACTGCAACGCACATTCCTGCAGGATCTGCGACTGCTGTGGTTCCATTTAGATTTTTCACAGTGACAGTAATGACTTTGAATATTGAGAAAGAAAGTTATGTGGACTGCATGTTTTGAATAATACAAATTATTTCGGGGGAAAGAAGAAATTCAAATGGTTGAGCGTGAGCAAAGTTTTTCCTTTGTAATCAAAATCGCCAATAGAACGGGCACAGTTTGGAGGACATTAAGAAAACGAGCAATCAGTGCTAAATATGTTATTAACGCCAACTTAAACTAATGTGTTATTATGACTTATTGTAAGCGCATTCGAAAGGGATAAAAACGTGCCACATAATGCAACATAACTGACCCTTTATCGTTAATACAACGAATAAATCTAATTATTTTATGACTTCGTTCAATTGAAATCAAATCTAAACAAACGCATCAATCAAATTAAAATATAAACATATAGACAATTTAGCTACTTTAATTACATTTACATCACGCTGTTTAGAACCCACGCAGGATCCATTAATTTTCCAACCCAGAGAATAACTCACACAGCTCCAACTGTGTCAGGCCTCAAACCCGCAGGCTATAACCAATGCCATGCAAAATCACAGACAATAATAATCCTCAACGTAAAAACATAACAACCTATCAACCTATTTAACTATATATGTGGACTGTAATAAACACAGGTTTGGTTCAGCTCTAATGTTTTCAATTTTCAATTATGCCTAAAAACAAAGCCCAGCGATAAGCTAAGCATTTTAAAAATAAAATACCTTAGTGAGAATGGGAAGAACACCTCACATCCTCAAAGAAGAAACTGAGCAAACCAAAGACATAATGGCTCCCAAATTGCATGGCTAGAGGACTCTGATAGTTAACTCACTTTGATCTTTTAATGAGTGTTTCTAAGCTCTCCACGATGCCTTTTTTTAAAAGCTCGAATGAAAGAAAAAAAAAATACAGGCTCCTTTAATTTGTTTGCTGCCGAGTTGCACTGGAGCATCTTAAAAACAGACTGTGCAGCAGTATGGTTTCTGATACATTTAAGGAATAGAGGGGAAATGTCGCGCGATATTCCTCTTTTAGCTCACACGCGTTTCTCTCTTAAGGGCGTTTCTCTAAAATTATTATTGTGGCACTTAGAAGGGATTCAAGGGCACAGCACGCTCCTCGTCAAGTTAACGGAACCGCTGGAAGTTGGCGAAGCTTGTTGAAGGTTTGCACGTCGGCAACAACTTTAATTTAATCTGTTTCTGTTGCAATTTTTAGTTGCTTTCATACCTGAAAAAAATGAAAACAATGAATATTGTTGCACTATGATTTCACACAGCAAGCAATCAGGCAGTGCACTGCTGTAATAACAAATAGGGTATGAGATGCAGGGCCCCACAGGCCTGAGGGCCCCTGAATACTAAAATAGCCTTTAACAACTCGTTTTGTTTTTCAAATGTTTTAATTAAGTCACAAATTGGGTCTATCGGTTTTTGAAAAAAAAAAAAAATTATATTTATATATTTTATATTTATATATGTGTGTTATTTCGATGCATTTTTTATTTGAGCTTTGCTTAAATTCACAGATGCACAACCAGCTAAACAGTGGAGTTATTCACATCACATCTACTTCTCCCCACTCAGTCACATCTTCCTGCTTTTATTCGCCTGAACAACATGGCCCATTTCACTGAGACAGCCAAAAAAAATGATACTGCAGGATAATCCCAACTCCCCGAGGATTAAGACCAAGTATAATACAGCACTGTCAACCCATGGCTAGATTTGTTTATGTTATGATTTATTGGATTCAGCTTTTTTTTCCCACTGACAAATTTATTGAGTTCCTGACAGATGGCCTGACAGGACCCTGTGTGACAGCCAGCTGACATACAAGTTTGAAATGTGAGTCTGAAAACTGTAGCCTATACCTGCGCTTGTGTAGTTTGTAAGACACAGCGGAACTGAACTGTAATTTAATTAACATAGGAGCTAATCATGTAGTCCCATACCCAACCAGTGACAGACTATATACCACGACACATATAAAAATTAAATTATACAAATTTAAAATGATATAAAAGGTAAATATTGGCATTTGTTTGCTACCTTTTGAGTAAATGATTTATCAAACTGCTGTAAGTTAGATGTAGTTGATTTACGAGTGTATATAAGCATCTGAATTACATAACCTAAATTATACAGTCACAGATATATCATAAAAAATAGCACTTTATCACCTGTTTGTTAACTTAGGCCTATTTATATTTATTTCAAGGTAATGTTTATGACTTTCAAAACAATCCAGAGAGAATGGAATAATATCTATAACCATATAATCAAAATCTTGTAAAACCTAAACTAAATGCTAAAATGCATTTTTGTTAAATGTAATAAAATGTCTTCCCATTTTGGTACAGTTCACAGTACCAAGCTACAAACCTCTCCTCCTCCTCAGGAACACTGTGGTGTAAATTTAGTAAAGACCAGCTCATCTGATGACAGTGAGCCAGGATGCAGTCAGATTTATGCACCTGGTCCCCCGACTCAGTCTAAACACATATTACTTCTCAGTTGTATGCTGACGTTACCTGAAACGACTCCGACCCCCTATCTGAATTACAATATCACCCCCTGCTGGACCAAACCAGGCAGTACAACGTGCTTTCCTAACACAACTCAACAATGCCACAACTAAAGAAATGCTAAGTTGTCGTGAAACAGGCATAGAGCAGATAAATAAAATACAAATCAAACAAATTTATTCTTTCAAGTCATATAAAATACAATATGTTATTATTTTTTGTACACAATACTGGATTAATCTTGAATACTTAACTTCATGTTAGTGTAAGTTTCAAAATTATTCATATAAAACTTAATTACATTTACATTACATTTTTATCCTTATAAACAAATATAGATAAAAACAATAGAGTCAAATATAGTCATTTGTATATTTTTTTGTTAATACTTATGTAGGTTTCTGATCATTTGTATTTCCTAGATACATGATCCTCTGCGAATTTTAAATGAGACTAAAATAAAATTTCTACTATTGACTTGTAGATGAAGTTAATTTGAAAAATTCTCAAGATATAAGTCATCCATGTTGTCTTATAAAAACACTGTTAAGTACCCATTTGGAATGTAAAGAGTTTTTTTCTCAAACCCATTAATTACAATTTCATGACATTGAAATGCCAAAAGGTGCTACTTTACCACAAAGTGTAATATTATGTATAGTACTCGAGTATGTTCCCCATCATAGTAATTGTATTTTGACTTGAATTTGGTCAGTTTTGCCCTTTCTCTTGTGTTACTGTTGATGTGATATAGAGTTGCAGTCCTGGTATTATTCTTGCGATGTGCTGCACTGTACATTGTTATTGTTCTATTATCCAAAATATTATAGTGCAAATTACAAAAATTGCATAAAATATATATGTATTTTTTCTTAGCAAAGCTTATGATGAAAATGAGTTTGTTCACATGATTCTGCAGCAATAACTAAAAATAACTTTTCTCTGTTGGTTCAATGTTGTGCATCTGCAATGACAGCCATCTTTAGAGAATAATAAGTTATAGATTATTGGATAAACAAACATAAACAATATTGAATTTTTCATTATTTTTTTCTATTCATTAATTCATTCAACTTGCCAAAAAAATGCATGACACAATTACATTTTTAAAAATATCATTAGAATTTTTGGCACATTATTGTAATAATGGTTCATGTTTTTAGTAGTTCCATTTTCAATAGACAAATGAC